CATATATATATATATATATATATCTATATATATATATATACAGAAAAAAAATGTTACTCTTTTTTTGGAGAAATTCCTCATTCTATCAGTAAATTGGACATTTACTATATGTAGGTGCTGGGGACTTGAGTACTTGGGGTCTTGGAACAAATCCCTGTGGATAAAATACTGTGTAAGTAAAATTCTTAGTGTGATGATGGTAATAATCATTAAAGAGGGTTAGGGTGTTGCAGTTTAAGTACAGTGGCTAGGGAAGACCTCAATATTGGGATCCGTTTGCACAAAGACTTGAGGGAAGCAAGGGAGGAATTCATGTGGTGAAGAGTATTCTAAGAGGAGGAAAGCACATGGACAGACCTTGAGTCTGGGGCATGCCTGGCATGTCTAACCAAGGGCAAGGAGGCTATCCTATAGCTGGAGTGACAAGAACAGAGTATTGGATCTCCAAATGTTTCTCTGGTCAGGATAATTAGTGGTGGAACAATGTGTAGGACTTTGTAGGCATTCATAAAGATTTGGGCTTTTATGCTAAGAGATGAGAATCCATGGAGGACAAAGCCTAATTTGATTTAAAGAGATCATTCAGGGTGTCAAGGGAAGAATGAGGGAGTCAAAAGACAACAATGTAGGTGAGAGATCTGGAGGCATAGTAGAAGTAATGAAATGGAGAGATGGGGTTGGATTTTGGATGTTTTGAACGTGGATCAATGAATGAGCCATTGGAGTAGGGAAGGTTGAGGGCAATTCCTAGAGGGGGATCCAGCAGATAGCTGGGGGAATGAGCACCTTGGTCCTTGACCATGGGAGGGACAGGGATGGATCTGGACATAGATCTATTCCATTAGTTTCTATAGTAGACTTATGATTACTATTTCCACTTTGCAGATAATAAAATTGAAGTTTTAAGAAATTAAATAGCTTTTTCAAATTCCCAAAGTTGCAAGTAATGCATATAGGTTCTGATGCCATGTCCCTTCAATGCACTTTCCTCAAAACAACCCCTCTCCACCTGTTTTCCAGAGGAGTCTACATGATTGAGTGAAGACCAGATTCCATGTGCGTGTTGAAGTGCCTGCTAATATGACTAAATGCTCTGCCCTCATGTATGGTTGTTTGGTCAACCTGCAGATCTTTGGCTGTGAACATGGCACAGGCTGGCATAGACCTGTATGTGTGATGAGGCATCCACTTGACCTCCTCTTTAATCCCTCTTTCCTTCTTCCCCTACACTGACCAGTTTGTAATAACAATAAGTATGTCTTGTGCTCAACAAAGTACTAAGTGCTTTTAACAAATTCTCCTGCTTATTTATTAATGAAAGTATGAATAAAATAGCTAATAATGCAAGGACCCAAGTATAGAACCACAGAGGAAGAAAGATGTGAGGTGGTGGACATTCCACTTTGAATGTTCTTCTTCATAGAAGCCTGAGGGATTTTAGGTTGAAAGATACAAGGCTCTCACCCAGACAAGTCTAAATTAAGACATTGATTTGAGAGTTTCTAAATATTCTAAACGTTCTTTTCCTAAGCTTCTGACTGGTGGTAATCAGTGAGGCGGTTTTCCACTTAACCTTATCTTTCCTGTCGTTTCTAAGTATGCATGAGTGGATAGGAGAATTGAGCAAACAAGAATCAGATCTAAGATAAGAAAAAACTTTATTTTGCCTCTCCTTATCCTTTTATTCAATGGAGTTTTTGTTCCTCAGATGTTGGATGAAGTTTCTGACAGATCCCAGAGATTTTCTGTTTATTTTTGGAAAATGCACATCACATCCTCATGGTGATTTGAAGTTGCAGGAATAACCCCAATTTCAAACACCTAATGTCCAGGGCAAGGAATTATTGAATATGTCTGATTCGGTTTAATGTCAATGCATTGACTTTTTTCTGGTACAGACCCAGGTCAGCCTGGAGGCAGAGAAGAGAGGAGGGGCAGGAAGGCCCCATCTTCTAAGCCTTTATTTCCTGCAATGAGAAAAGAGGAGGGGAGACGTAAAGGGATAGGACAATTCTTACTTTGCTGAGTGGCTTCATACTCTGTGCAGATGTCTGGATCATTTTGTGTAGTATATTTTGGGCTCCTTAAGATTTCAAATTGGAGCCTTTCACTTGAAACTACCATGAGAAAGCCTGAGTCTTTATTCTGGGTGGCCACTTGTGACTCCTTCCTCAGGCCAAGGGCATTGGTAGAATCTCTGCCCAACATGCATGACCTGCATCTTTCTGTAGACATCCCCTTACCCTTCCATACAGTGCTGTTGGCCAGAACAGGATCCCTACCCTGAATGGCCCACTCCTGGCCTGGTGTAGGACTGCAGGCCACAGTGCCTCAGTCACAACCATGTGCCGGGATCCTTCTCTGGCTTGTAAGATTTCCTGTGCAAGAGCCAGGCTCTGTCCACAGTCCTCTTCAGCTTCCTCAAATGAGGACAGGGTACCAGTTCCTTCCTTCTGAAATTTCAGGGGATGCAGGCCAAGTTGGTCGAGATGAGGGGAGGGAGAATCTGTGTGTTCCTAAAGAATTCTCTTCCTCTCCTCTTGTGCCTTCGCTCAATAAAGGGATGAGGGGCCATCACCTTCCTTCCAAGGCATGTTTCTTCCCTTCTCCTCCCACATGGGTAAAAATACTCCAAAGTGAGAAATCACAAAAGTGACATTAGGAGGTTGCTTAGTCAGCAAGCTCTGGGGAGGCTGTGAAGCTTCCACCCTGCAAGGAAGAAGCCCTGCGAGGAGCTGGAGAAGGGCACACCAGAGCCGAGTGTCATTTTCCCTTTTACCTTAAAGAAACTGGGATGGGGATTTGGTGGCACTGGCTCCCCGACTTATCATGTACTGTGACATTCTCCAGGCTGTAAACTATTCATTCACCAAAGGGTGGCTGGTCATGAGGTGGGACTTGGGCTGGGGCTGGGCTGAGGTCCAGACTCTCCAAGGTCATTTTCATGCCTCTTCACTCTTGCTCCCTCCTAACTGCTAGGGAAAGGGAAGTAGGTCAGTTTGTGGATGGGAGGGCCATTCTCAATTATAAAAAAGAAAAAAAAAATTTGCTTTTAAGATTCCAAGAATTTCAGCTTGTAAGTCAGAAATTTCACACCCCAAATGAAATTGGCGAGAAGCCTGGAACTCGCCATTTTCACTTTAGGTACTAAAATTCTCACATGGATTAACTTAAAGAGTACCCATGGTATTAAAATGTCTTTGGAGCTTAAGATTTATTTGCATATGATTCACTGCCATGATGATTTACTTACCAAATGGATTCGGTTTTTGTTATTTTGAAACTGTCCAGGAATCACACATTTATTTTTCTAAGACGTCCTGTGATCAGAAAACATTGACTTTAATGATCTGTTGGCATACTTTCGCATCTTATTATTCTTCATATGAACAAAATTTTATAGTGTTTTCACCTAACTGGGTGCACTAGAATCTTGTTAAGTGGTTAACTCAGTTGAATAAAGAGTCTTAGAAGGCTTAATCCTCTCCAATTGGATATGGTAATTTAATATATTAGTTACACTTCAATAGAATGTTATAAACTGCATAGCATAGGCAGAAACATGGTCATTGGCTCCCCATCCTTCAGTATGTATGCAATTCATAGATACGTGCTCCACATAAAGCAATAACCTTCTTAAAAATACAGCTGATCATCATTATATAACATGTGGATTCTGCATTTGTGAATTCTCCTCACTGATTTGTCTCCAACCCCAAAGTCAGTATTCACAGCACTTTGAAGACATTTGTGTACATATGCAGAGTGATAAAAAATTTGAATCCTTCAAGGTGCACATTTCCACCTGAGGTCAAAGAAGGTGATTCTGCCTTCACATTTCAGTCCTTGTCCTGTAGACAAACATTTCCCAGTCTGGTAAATGCTGTGGTTTTTTTGCACTTTTGTGTTTTCTTTTTAAAATATTCCCCAAATGTAGTAGTGAAGTGCTGCCTGATGTTCCTAAGTACAAGAGGGCTGTGTTGTACCCAGTGGAGAAAATGTGTGTTGGAGAAGCTTCTTTAAGGCTGAAGTTACTACAGTGCTGCTGGCTGTGAATTCAACATTAACTAATTAACAATATATGTTCAATACAGCATCTTAGACACATAAAACAAGGTTATGTATTGATTGGCAAATGAAAATGTGTGACCAAAGCCTTATGGGATCATAAGAACTCCTAATAATCCTTAGGAACAATCTTTAGTATTCACTAACTCAGTGTTCATGGTGACTTCGCAAAACCTGGGTATTGACAATAACAAGGATCCAGAGTCACATCTCACTCCATGCTGTCCTTGTCCTGTGTGCCCACGTGAAAGGTGATTGAATATTTTTTTTCTTCTTAATCTAAGACTCTGGGTGTGTCATTCAAGGGTCTTAAGCAGAGAGATGGTCAGATTTGGGCTTTTAAATCATTACTTTCGCAAAGAGGAAAGAGTAGGTTGGGGGAGGTGAGGGGCCCAGGAAGGGCTCTCCTAGAGTTCATTCATGAGGTGTGGGTGGCATGGGGTGGACTGGCGGTAGAGTCCATGAGGAGCAGGCGCATTGGGAACTGTGGAGCAGCAGCAGAGTGCTACTTACAGCACACTGATTGAAACTGAATAGCATCAGGTGCACGAGAATAATCATGGCATATCAGATGCTTAGCTGTGTGAGTCCTGGCATAGGAGAGGGTGACAAGATGTGAGGCTTCCCTACTCCTATTTTGGGGATACTTATGAGACTCAATAGGAAATAAGATATGTGGAGCTTTAAAGCTCAGTTTCCACATTTGCATGTAATTCTTCTCCAGAATTGCTTTCTTTGAGTAAAGTGGTTTTTCTGCTTTTGAGAATTTGCTTTGAAAAAGCACACAGGGCTGTGCTAATGTAGATTTCTTTTCTTTCTTTCTTTCTTTCTTTCTTTTTTTTGCATTTTATCACACTCTCCATAAACAGCAAAATGCAGCTTTAGAAAATTTAGTGGCTATTATGAATTATTATGATATAAAATGATAGCACTGATATTTATATCTTACTTCATGTCATGACACCAATGTATATTACTCTCTGATATGTTTATGGGATATAAATTATGTCATCCTGTTGGAGATTTTTCTACACGTTGAAAAAATTTTAAAAAGCATTTAATGGTCTGAAAGAACTTTCCCAATTGGTGACAGCATGAAAATAAGTCATTTTTTAAAAAAATCTAAAGATTAATAGATCTATTATTTGTAATATGTACCTCAAAAAAGTTCAGAGGTGCACGCCCATAATTCGAGTGGCTCAGGAGGCTAAGGCAGGAGGATTGCAAGTTCAAAGACAGGCTCAGCAACTTAGTGAGGCCTTATGCAACTTAGTCAGACCCTGCCTTAAAACAAACAACCAAACAACCAAACAAACAGTAAGGGCTGGGCATGTGGCTCAATGGTTAAGTGCTCTGGGTTCAATTCCTGATACCAAAAAAAAAAAAAAAAAGTTCAAGTTGTTGTTCTCTTGATACTATTTCTTTTATCATCTGTTCTATATGTGAAAGCATGTGTACAAAATGAATTTGATACTGCTCAAATATGTCTTTCCTGTTTGTGTTGCAAACTATCTAAGGAGGAATCTTCAATATAGAAAGGATCAATGGTTGACCAGTTGAGTGGATGAGCTTACAAGGTGAGAACATTGTTCAAGATCTGAGTTCCTAACTGCACTTTTATTTCTCTTCTCAGTGTGTTAAACACATATTCAGTTATTAGAACATAGAGATTATGGAAATACAAAGATGAATGGAGTACATTCTACTCTTTGGACTACACTAGAGGAAATGGATATGTAAACTAAATAAATAAATTTATCACTGAAGTTTCCATAAGAGCACAGATAAAGAAGAAATATTAGAAAAGTTTTCCATAGAAAGGGTTACTAAAGCCTTGAAAAAGAGTCAGGAATGTCCATGGAGATAAGACAGCATGTGCCCAAGTAGGCAGGCATCAAAACAAACAGAATATTTGAAAAACTGCAAGAATTTGGAACTTGGTGCTAAGTGAGTGGGGGAAAGATACAAATCTCATATCAAAAGGCTCTTTCATTCCCCAGAGTTCATATTTTGAAGTGGAAAGTCTTTTTGGCTATGCAAAGAGAGACAAGATGGATGAAATAATTGATATTATTTGTTTTAGTATAAATTAACTGGATGAAAAATGGAGACAATAGAAGAATACATTTGAATACTCATAATTAATTTTGAAGTTGATATTTGGCATGTAGAAGAAACCATTGTGATTTCTTAGTGTGGTGATTTCAGGATTTTTAATAGCCCGAAACATCCTCTATAAATGGGTCTACTGTCTTATTTTTCCTTCTCTTTTCTCCCTTTCTTCTCCAAGTGCAAATGTAAAAAAGGTAAATATTTTTCCATCTTCTTTTAATTTCAAAGATAAGACTCTGTTGTGTTTGGCAGCTGCTAGTAAACTATATTTAAAAATACTCAAGTCCTGATCAGATTATTGTTAATGCATTCTTACAATCTAAAAATTAAAAAATCTCCTCCAAATCATATTTCTTACTATATTTAAGACATATGATTCCACATTTTCTCAGATATATTTTCCACTTCAGAACAGCCTGCCCTTAGAAAGCCATTTGTCAATATTTCTGAAATCAAGTCTTGAATAAAGAGCTTCAAAACAACTTAATTTAAACAGAACATTCCACAAAACATAATGCTGAGTATTAACTAAACCATTTAAAATAATCACTTAAACCTGCACCCTGATTATAAAATTTTAAAGATTTTTAAATAACTTTCTTGCCTAGATCTTCTCATATAAAGGAAAACAGCATTCTCTTATCGCCAGGTTTATTATCCTAAAAGGTTTTAGGTTTTCTTTTCCAAATTGGATTGAGATCAAACCCCTAAATAAATGAAACATCTTTTTCCTCTTCTTTAAGCTGTTCTGACTTTGAAGGCCTTGGTTTCCTTGGGTTGGAGCTGATTCAACATCTTGCAATGAAACAACTAATTAAAGTGTTTTTGCTTTTGGCTGGGAGTCTTTCTTTTTCTCTGGCTGGAGTTCTGTCTTTAGTTGAAGTCAGGCGGCTTATTCCCATTTCTAAATTTTGGTGTGGAAAATACCATTGATTGGGCAACAACAACAACAACAACAAAAACCATGAATGAAGCATTTGACAATTGATTATCTACCTTCTCTGCCTGATACCAAGTGGGACATGTGCCAAGAATCCATCAGCACTTTCTCATAACTTCATATGGATCAGGCTCTGTAATAAAGTATTTCTTTATGTGACGATTGACTTTATGTAGTATCTCCTGTCCTATGTTTTTGAAGGCTTATTGATTTTTGGAAAAGTAACTTATTTTATCAACATTTTTTGAGAGCCTGTATTTGCCACATTTTGGCGATATAATGCACTTTGATATTGTTTTTTGTTTATTATTTTTTTTGTCCTTCCAACTAGACTGTAACCTCTCTTATTCACTGTTGAATTTCTCCCATAAGGTGTAGTGTCTGGCTCATGATGAATTACTAAAGAAATATTAACTGAGTGCGGGAAAGGATGGGCTGGATGGGCACAGTCCCTGCATTCAAAAGCAATACAGACAAATGGGGACAGGGAAGCTCATGCATTATAAATACTAATAATACATTGACCAAAGAACCCACAGAAGCATGCATAAAAAACTGCAGAGTGCTAATGATGGATAGATTCCTATGTGTTCAGGAGAGGCAGAGAATGTTAGGAAAAGACTCAGAAAAGATGCAATCTGAACTGTATCTTGAGAAGAACATAAAATCCCTAGAGGCCTGGAAGAAGGAAACCATACCAACATGAGATGCATTTATGGCTGTGCTCAATTTGAGGTATTGGGGGGGAACCTGAGTGGGGTAGATTTCTAGTGGGTTTGGAGTTCAAGGTGAAGTCTTATCATGTAAGTTCCCTGCTTCTCTCTCTCTCTCTCTCTCTCTCTCTCTCTCTCTCTCTCTCTCTCTCTCTCATATGTATGTGTGTGTGTGTGTGTGTATAAAATTTTCCAAATACAGTGAGGGCACTATGAACACTAATTAAATAATAAACAATTGACAATGTGTAGACAGATATTTAACTTAAAGAATACTTAGGTGCAATTGTGTAGAATAATTTAAAATTATATAGTTTATAAGATGCAATGCAAATAAGAAAAAGAAATCTTGAAATAGTAGCTATCATCTCAACCTCATAGAATAGTTGTCTGTTTGGGAAGGTCTGTGGCCATGGGTCACTCATCTCTTTCCTATACACAGGAGGTGCCATTATTGCAACAATATATTTTGCCTGGGTCATTATAGATATTAATAGAATTTTGGGGTGTTATTATCTCTACTGTTTAATCATTTCCAATATAATGTGTACTTTTTTCAATATGCACCATAAAAAGACACAAAATAAGTAAAGAAACAGTGTTGAAAGAAGACTCATAATTTGGGTTTTCCAATGTTAAATAAACACAGAATAGAAGATGCTTAGATACTTTGAGTCTAGTTATGACTCATGGCCCAAAGTGTAATTGTTTTATGTGTCTGCCCAAATATAAGAGCAACATGGGTTTAGTGGAGCCTCCAAAGCTTGTTATCCAAGAAGAGAGTTGGGTAGACGTGAGTGCAATAGCTGAGTTTGGGAATGTGAGTTTGGAAATGGGGGTGGGTTGGTGAGTATGGAAAAAGGGATAGGATGCAGTTGTGGCCAAAAGAAGCAAAGTAATCTAGGCCTCTGGAGGGGAAGTGTTTAAAGCACAAAGAAAAGGATGTAGACATTGTCTTTAGCGCAAAGGGAACTGTAAATATTCAGTAAATATCTCCTTTTGCCAAGAAAATAATGTTGTCTTGGTAAAGATGCTACACAAGTAATGCAAATAAGCTTTTGAGGTTATAAATCCATCTAACTAGTCCTCACTTGGAGATGGCATTATTTTAAAATGCTTTTCTCAGGAAGGGTCATTCTGTATTATAAGACATGACAATGTCTACTTGAAAAGTCCTCTCCATGTTTAGTGTGCTGAGCAGATGTATTTATGTCTTGACATGGGTATATGGAAATCTCTTTATGTGGGAACCTTTGAAAGTCAGCCTCCTCTGATTTTTAGCCAGTGAATCCAGGAAGTGTGGGAACTGAGGGTCCTGTTCCAGTGAACTGTAGAATATGTGCTATGTTTGTCTTCTCTGCTGAGTTAGTCATCAATTATGTGTGCTCTAAACGCATACTAATCTCTCTTTTAGAAAAAGGTTCAAGGATGTCAAGAATGAACCTCTGTGCTCTAGCCTATTAAGGAGAATGAAAAATCCCTGGAGAAGATGAGAAAAGAAAATAATTCAGGAAGCATGCTAAAAATAAAAATATACTCTAAAGAGGTAAGGGGAAGTGCTTGGAAAATCAATGCTAGTGTTAAGACATACAGGAGTGAATGAATGTGACATTGAGAGGGGAAAAATGAGGTAAAAATTACAACCAGAATAACACCACAGCATACAACTTTGCTTGAAGAGAAAACAGTGTGCCGTTTCTCCAGAAAGATAAAGAATCATTTCCAAGCCTTAGTGAGTAAACAGATTCCTGTTATGACCCCCAGGTGGGAGTGACCCAACTGCTGCCACTCTACACAGTGATGGAGGTTGGTGGATGATTCTACACCAAGAATATGTGTAATTCACAATACAAAAAAATGAAAGGAAGCCCAGAAAAGCCCAGTGATCCTCCCATTTTCAACCACCCAATGCATCTGTATTTTGTATGTCCGCTTGGGAATACATGGTACTGCAAAAAGGGAATTTGGGATATATTTCTAGTGATTTGGAAGTTCTAAGTTAAAAGTTGATGGACTCATTTCTTCTTCCAAACTCATAAATTAGGAAGATATGGGAAGTCGGTCATGAGTGAAAAAATAAAAGAATTTGGTCCTTGATAAGGTGCAGAGAGCATCCCATGACTACTGGGAAGAAAAAGTTCAGGAAAGCACCTAACAATTTCCTGGGGACAATATTTTGTTCATCTGCAGTATCTTGTAGTGATTTACATATAGCTGGAGCTTAAAATTAAAAGATTTTAAGAGGGAGAGAAGAAAATACAATAATAAATAATAAAATAAGTCATAAGTCACAATTCCATAAATGATAATAGATATGAGAAAGACCAAAATCAAAACAGAACAATAAAAACTTCAGTGCAGGAGATGGACAGTTATTCGCATGGAAACAACAGGAAAACTGGTCAAGAATTTATGGGGTTGGTGCTGTAACTCAGTGGTTGAGCACTTGCCTAGCATGTACAAGGCATTGGGTTGGATCTCCAGCACCAGAAAAAAATAATAACTTTTGACTGAACTTGTAAACATTTAAGTGCAGAACAGTGTAGAATAAGTAAAATGAGCTTGAAATGTTAATATAAGAAAGCAGAAACTATCTCATAGCTATCACTAAGTTTCAGTGAACCAAAATAATAGAAGACTATACACTGTTCTAAGGAAACAGATTTGAATCAAGCTTGGAGGTATGGCAAGGTACATTAAGAACATAATTAATAGTTTCCCTATGCAGGGGGTATGAAGATATGAAGAATACTGAGATTTAATATTGGATAGCAAAGACCTCATGATCACAAGTGGAGATGGATATGTAATAATTTCACTAAAGTAAAAAGTGATATGAACTTAACTGATGTGTCCAAAAGGTCACATGTTAGTTATGGCCTGTCATAGCAAAGTACAACAGACTGGGTGGCTTCAAATAATAGAAATATACTATCTCACCACTACAGAGGCTGGCAGTCTGAGATCAAGGCATCAGCAGGGTTGGTTCATTCCATCTGAGGCTGTGAGGAAGGATCTCATCCAGGCCTCTCTTTGCTGGCCATCTTTGACATTTATTGGTTTGATGATGTGTTGCCCGATCTCCGCCTTCATCTTTACATGGACCTCTCCCTGTGTGCGTATCTCTGTCCAATTTCCCTCCTTGAATAAAAATTGTATTGGTTTGGGACCCACCCTAGTGACCACATATTAAATCCATCATCTTCAAAGATCTTAGTTTCCAATAAGGTCTCAGCCACAGAACTGGAAAATATTTCAACATGAGTTTTGGGGTCCCAGTTCAATCTATAACAGGTTATAGGATCCAAGGTAGCATACAGCAGGACATATCCCACTTCGTACAGTATAGCAACATGATTTTAAAAGTTTTTCTTAAATATATAATTGGTATAAATGTGAGAAAGAAAATGTTTGGATAAAGAGATCTGCCTGTTTAGGTAAGAAATTATGTTTTTAAAAATATAACTTGATTTATTAAGTTATCTAACCACTTATTGACCATCTACTATAGGCTTATACACATAATATACCAGAGATGCAAATTTGATAACAAGTCATAATATCTAGAATGCTTAATAAATACTTACTTTTTTTCCACTGAAAAACTTATCTCATAGTATGTAAAGGGAACAGTGCTACTTCAAATTGGGAATTAATCCCATTTACCTAGGTAGAACTTACTTCCTAGTCATGTAGGAAATTATTGAAATTTTAGGAGCAAGTTACAGTTAGAGAACATTATAGTGAGGGAATGATTGTTAGACAAAATTAGGCATATCCTAAGACTTCAAAGAAGCAAAATTTTAAAAGTTCAGGAAAAAAAAATTGTTATAGTTCTATGACTGTGGAGAAACATAGGATTCTGGAGTCTCTATACTAAATGCCTCATCCCATGAGCTGCCCCAGGCTTGGTGAAGTGCCTCCTGCACAATGGTAGAATGTTGCCATGCATATCCAGTATCCAGAGCATTGTAGAATTTGAATCCTTGGTGAATTATGGTAATTGTGAATCATCTGTTACAAAAGAAGAGTAGATAACACTAAAAAAAAAAGTAGTTGCAAGAGAGCTCTCTGTTTAAATGAGATCTTAAGAATATAAAATCACATTGACATAGGATTGTGAAAATGTAAAGTCAGTTTTTTGACATATAATAATTTTAAAACATGAATGTTGAGCTAGCTTTCAGGTTTGCTGATGTGACTATGCATGGGCACGTGGTGGGTTTGAGAACTTGCCTCATTCTGGTGGATGTGTGATACCCTTCGACTGTGTTTAGTCTTATTTACTCTAAATCTTTCTTCTCTGCTGCCACCAGAGTGAGTCTCCTGCCATGAGATTCTGAATCTATTTAGTGTCAGGGGTCTTCAGGGTCTCTCCACTGCTCACAGACTAAATATTTACAATGCTTTGCGACAAGTCCCAGCCTCAATGCCTATATGACTCTTTTCTGGTCATAATCATGGGCAGAAACTTATTCTACAATTTTGCCTGTGCTCATGTGCTTTCCTTTCAACTTTACCTGACTCACGTCTTGCCTTTCATAATCTAGAATCTTCCCTATGCTTCCAGACTGGGTGAAGTGTCCCACCTCTGCTCACTGCAACCTATGCATAAAACTAACTCAGTAAAGGCATCGAAAGGATCTCCATGCTCAACTTCCAGTAGATCATAAGCTCCTTGAGGACATGGACATGATTTTCCATTCAGGGACCCACACAGTACTGAAGGTAAAGCCTCACCTGTGACACGTTGGGTTTAATATATGTTGAATTTTAATATTCATAATCATAGGGAAATAATCTATCTGTGTTGATGAAGCCCTTTAACACACCAGTCAATGATTTAATTGTTGAGATTTGACAGCTGAAACCAAAAATGTGTGAGTCTGTGGTGTACCTTTGGGATACTCTATGAATACGATGGTATACGTAGAATCTACTGAACATCTGGCCTGATTGTAGACACTCAGTAAACATTCATTGAAAGTCAATGCAATTCAGTCATGTATTCATTTATTAGTTCAAAAATAATTTACTCAAAAATTGCAATGTCCCAGTACTGGTGCTGAAGAAACCAAGAGATATGAGTTGTTGGTTATATAAATGAGGCATAGTCATATGATGAGTATCATAAACATCTCCGGATGAATGTGCTGTAAGTCATTATGGTCTAGATATAAGGTGTCCCCGAAAGGCTCATGTGTGAGACCATATAAGAAGTTTTAGAGATACAATAATGTTAGATCATGAGAGGTGTAACTGTTTCAGTGGATTAATCCACTGATATGGATTAACTAGGTGGTAACTGTTGGAAGGTAGGATGTGGCTGGAGGAGGTAGGTCACTAAGGGTGTGATTTGGGGGGGGGTCTATATTTTGTCCTTGGTGGGTGGAGCTCTCTTTCTGCTTCTTGGTTGCTAAAGTCGTGAACTTCTTTCCTCCACCATGCCCTTCTGCCATGATGTTCCTCCTCACTTGGGCCCAGGGCTATGGAGTTGGCTGGTCATGGGCTGAAACTCTGAAACCATGAGCTGAAGTAAACTTTTTCTCCTCTATGTTGTTCTTGTCAGGTCTTTTGGTCACAGTTCTGAAAAGTTAACTGAAACAAAGTGTATACAGGAGGGAGAAGCTCACTCTGTCAGAAGGCTCAGGAGAAGATATACAGGCCTTTCGTTTTACTCTGATGCATTTTCTGCCATTCTTTGTCATGCACTATAACTCAGGGAGAAATATTTTCCAGGATCTCTTGTCTCCTGGATTCCAAGGAGGCCAGAGATGGCACCATGAAAAGCTTAAGGCCTTGGTGAGAGAATAAAACATGTTGTCTCTCCTGACACCTCTGCTGTTCCATGGTCTGGTAACAAGCTTCCCCTTTGAGGCTTCTAGGAGCAGTAGCCTAGAAGTAGCAGTACCTTCTTGCCCTTCTGGTCTCTTGGTTGCCTCCCTCATGGGCTCTTTGGGTCTTCCATCACTTGTGAAACCCATACCCAGTGGTAAATTCATGGAAACAGTGAGGGTGCTTTATTTTTCTTGAATGAACCTGTGTTGTTCAGAAGTTACCCAATGAAGGTCACAATAAAAGCTACTAATTGGGCTGTTTCGGGTGATTTTGTCCCTTTTTATACTCAGTATCCTGTTGTTGCTTTGTTTATTTGCCAAGGATAAAATTTTAATTCATCCTGAACTCAGGTCTCTTATCTACAAAAAAGAAAAATCATAAAAATGTAATGTATTTGCCTATGTTACAGTTCATTGATTCATTCACACATTTTGTTGGAGCTGTAGTCATAAGAGGTGTCATGCCAACCCTGAAGATGTAACCAAGGTCAAGACAGATGTGGTTCCTGCTCCAAAAAGCATCACACACCCTGGGTGGAAGACACCTGTGCGTGTTCACTCGGGAGAGACCAGCTTTGGCCACAGGGCCATTAACATTCACATTTCCTTTAAAATGTTATTAAGTTTTTTAGATCAGTATGAGTAAATGACCATAGAATTATTTTTGAAGATCACAGAGCATGGAGAAAGTTCTCATTAAAACTAGATAGGGACCACTGATTTTTTTTTAACAGCTTTATAAATGAAATGAATAATAAAATCTACAGTTTTGAATAACCCCAAACTGATGTGCTATAGCCTTCTTAATCAACAGGCTTGTAATTAGGGGACATGTGTGTCCTCTTTGTGACTCACTCTCTAAGTGAAATATGTTTGGCAAGAATTTCTTTTCAGAAATTGCTTTTGTTCAGGAAATTCTTGCTATTTTTTTTATATGCTTGGATAGGGTCTTTTACATTTAAGAAGGAATGATTAACTCAAAGGGATGAGGGTTGAACTTAATCAATCTTGTATTCTGTAGGTGGGAGCATATCAAATTCAGTGCATTTTGATCAAGAAAAAATCTTATTTTTACATACTTTCAGACTATAAATTTTAATATCCTTCAGAAACACATTTCAGTTTCAAGAAGTTTTTTTCATCTTATCTAAATCTCTCAGGCTGTTCTTGCAAAGATGAAGGACAATTGCATACAATTCTCTTCAGAATAAACCAAGATTATAACCATGTATTTATTCATTCTTTCATTGAACAAGCTTTTATTGAGCATCTACTACTAAGAGTTAGCCCTGTAGGATAAAACCATATATAACCCCAGCCCTTTAAAATTGCCTTAATGACCAAAGATTCTTTTCTTTTTTTGGATCACTTTTTCCTAACCCTGATATCTACTTACTTGCTGTGTGATATTGGGCTAATAAATAGTATCTATAAGTTTCTTGAATTTATAAAATGAAGATAACTTTAATACTACACAAATTTATTCTGATATTTGAATGAACTAGTGAGTGTTCAACATATTTTAGATCTTACCATCATCATTTGACTGGAATCTCTACAGCGCTCTCTTCCATTGGTACAGCCACTAGCCACATGTAGCAATTTGTGTTTAAAATAATTAAAATTAAATAAACTTAAAAATTAGTCACACTGACCACATTTCCATTGCTCAACAGGAACACATGGCTAATGGTCACCAAACTGGTTAATGAAGCAGATAAAGGACATTTTCAATATTGCAGAAAGTTCTTTGGGACAGCATTGGTCTCCAGAGCTTTGAATAAGGGGAAGGGAGGGAGACAGAGACAGAATGAGAAAGAGAGATAGAGGGAAGGAAAGGACGTGGATAGCCAAAATATTGACTATTGCATAGAATCAGTGAAATTGAGCCAGGTTTATTTCTGATGGGATTTCTGTAAATCGGTCTGTGCAGACAGCCATTTCTCTGTGGTGTCATTTTCTGAGGATTCTATAACACGATATTGAAAACCATGTGCACTGGAGTCAGACTGCCTGGGTTTGAATCCTGTATCTACTCTGATTTAGAACAAGTTTCTTAAGCTCTCTTTCTTGCCTTTCCTCCAACGTACAATAGGGTCAACCCAGTACCCACTTCACCAGCAAATTCCCAGAAAGCTAGGAGAATGGTGTTTGAGCATAGGAAACAGTGAAGCAGTATCCCGGGGCTCTTGAGCAGGCACAGGTAGCCTGTATGCACACAGCTTTCACAAACACTGAGCATTGCCAGCTTTGCCATTTCTGGGGCTATGTTTGGACTTAAAAGTTTCTGAGTCTCCATTTATTTCAGTTCTTAAATTTCCGTTTTTATTTCACAAAGTTGGGTTGGATACGACATGAGATAATGTATGCGAAAGCAAAAGGACATGATAGGCATTTCATAAAAGCTATGTCTTCCCTTCCTGTTTCTTTACTGGACCCACTAAAAAAGGACAAGTCATTCTGAATATTACTGTCCAATGTCCTTCAGGATTATCTAACTTTGTGGACAAAAAACAGAATGCCTTGAAAGATCACAAACAGATTTTGTGAAGTGGATAATGCATTTTCCTTCCTGACATACTGATTCTCATTTTGTGTGCTCTTAGGACAACTCAGATTACTGCATGTTTTCAATTACCAGCCAATGAAAGGGAGAGATGGTGAGAATAATCTAAAGTGACAGATAACCCAAACCATGGGTGGGTGCAAACATCATCAATATTCATTTATTTAAAAATGTTTGCTCATTCAATACACATTTATCAAAAGTCTTCTAGGCAAAGCATATGTTAGGCACTACTACTTATACTTCAGAATAATTTTGGCAGCAAATTTTCCCTAGTAATTGTTTAGTTTGGGCTTATATTTAAATTGATTTACATTCTCTAAATATAGAGTGAATGGTTTTAGAAGATGGGGCAGCCCAAGGTAGGGTAGTATCAGGATGGCGTCAGGTTAATATTAGAAATTCATTTCATCAACGGTCTGTATGTAATTTCATTCACAAACTGAGGCCTTCTCAAGAAAAAAGTAAAGTTCCTTATTAATATGCATTTTTTAGATCCTAAAAGCAGTACTTCCTGCTAACCTCAGAGAACCTGAAGAACTTTTCCATGTGACTGAGCACTGCCCTGTCTATAGGCTGCAATAGTATCTTCGACCAGGTGCTTCTAATGGGTCCTGAGAGAGTACTGAGTAGAGGGATGTGAGCATTTACCCAGTGTGAACACACAGGTAGCATCTGCTGTTGAAATGACAATAGGAAGACCTAGCCAAATCACCTTCTCCCTCCTGTAATTCTTTTCCAGCAAATGGAAGGCAAACTGGTAAGCAACAACACCTCTCCTATATGGCTTCATTAACCTGGCCTTTAAGGTGCAACTATCTGTTTAGCTGATTGAATTTCAATTTCGGTTTCATTTGCTGGTACCCTGAGGAAATTTGGGGACTGAAGGGCAACAAAGCTATAGCAATTCCATGGTATATACTCTGGTCTCAGCAGGGCAGCACTTGACTTCTGTGAATGTGATTTCAGACTTCAGAATGCTTCGGGAGTGGACCTGGGCAAGTTCCACCTCTCTCCTTGGTTAACCTGTGTAGCCTTTGCACGTATCCACTGAGGAGTATGCCATTCGCACTGAGTGTTTCAACAGTAAAGAGGAGCCAGTACTAAAATATGGAGTTTTAGGGGAGTGCATTGACTTAGCACTTCTGCACCTGTGATTGGGGTAGAGACTTAATTTACATTTTTGCATAATTATTGACACAGTTAAAGATGAATGGATAAATACTTTGACGTGGTATTTACATTTAGCTGAAAGTTCAGTGAGAAAGCCTGTAATTAGAGTATTTGGAAATACATGGTTTGAAACACTTTTCTTCTAACTAACATGTGAACACCAGGGTGCCAGTGTCCCTGTAAGATGGACAAAAGACAAAGGGAATATTGGTGATTTAAATTGGTTTACAAATGCCAGCTAATCAAAATATGCCTTTTTCTCTCAAAAACAATCAGTGTATCAGAAAACACATGTGTTTCTATCCATGATATCCTGAATCCAAGCAGGAGAACAATGAAATAAGCACCCCCACCCCAGTTGAGAAATCCGTTCTACTCCACCATGAAGAAATAAATGTCTACCAAAGGAAAATGATGAGGAGCTGAGAGGAGAATCTAATTGCCCACTTCAATCACTCCCACACAAATGCCTGGCTAAAGATGGGCAGGCAGAGCAGCAGTGTTTTGGCAAAAAAATTTAAAATAAAAAGAAAGGGAAAAAATTGTTCCAACAGGAGTTCTGTAGAAAAATGGAGACAGCTGCTGCATTTCCTCCAGTCTGTTATCTCTTTCCAACAGACCCAAAGACAATCCAGCCCTTGGCTTCATTAATCACTTGCTGTTTTAATAGTGGGCGACAACGGGGCTTACCTACTGCTTTCTTAGCCAAGAAACAGAGTGCCCAAGGAGGAGAGGAACGCACGTCAATTGAGGAAACGTGTCACTTCCAAAGAGACC